AGCACAGCTGTGGGAAAATAACAACTAAGACAGGAATGGAATGGAGCCCAGAGAAGCAGCTTCCTACGTGGAATCGATCAGGGAGCTGAGCATGTGCTCATAGATGCTAACATGGAACATCTCCAAAGTACTGACTTACACAAAAGTTCCCTTTAAGGGACAGGTTCCCTTAGGATTTCTCGATATTCTTAATGGACTCTCTCAACATACAAAGAAAATGGTAATTATTTTAATTTAACTTTGTATTTTTCTTATATACACATATTAAATGCATGTCTGAAAAATCTCACTTTAAGGATAAAATTAATGTGATCTTTTAAAAGGAAATCAGTCTAAGTCTCTCTGGGAAAAAATACTGCTATATTAGCTAGTTACTACCTCAAAACAAAGCTTCTGTGGTTATTCAAAAGGACACCTTACTCTTGCACTCCATTGTTGGAACCTAATTTTAATCCTGAACAGAAATATTGTTTAAGATTTCTGATAACTTCTTCTTTTTCCCCACCTTGATCATACGCTCAAGTTATCCTTTGTACTTGTGCCTGCCCTTAACCATTTTGATTGCCTCCTTTCAACATTTTATACATTCCCTTATAGTGCTTGATCCAAGCTCTGCCTGGAGTCAGGATGCCTTGCATTCTAAAGAGCATAGAAAACATGAGCAGTTTAGACCCCACCCCTGTCAGATGGTGGCCCTTTGCACTTGCCCAGACCCCATGGCAGAGGAATGAGATCATATTTCCTCCATGTTATTGGAACCACGAAAGAATGGGAAGATAGGGCGGGCAGCATGACTGCTTGCTTCTTATGCCACAAGCAACATGGTGTTTAGCGTAGAGGTTGTCACATGGGCTCGGAGGCCACTCTGATGGAATTTAAATCCCAGCTTTGCCATTTAGGAGCTATGTGATCATGAGTGAGTTCCTCTGTCTCTCTGCACCTGTTTCCTCCTTTAGAAAATGGAGATTACAATACCACCTAGGTCCAAAGGGCTGCTGATACAGAGTATAGGAGGTCTGTCTAGCCTCGTCATCATTCTCATCCCACCTTAGAGATCCAGAGATGCTGGAGATAAGAAGGGCAGTGCACAGCATCAGAATATCACAACTTGATTAGAGAGAATGTGTAATTGATGGAGAGAAGTTATCTAAAATGACTGTGTTCACTAGGTCTTCATTAAGCGGTATTACTAAACCACATTACATTTGTGTCTAATAAATTATCAGCCTGAGTTTTAGCATTAGTTTTAAGAGTGGATCTGAACTCTGAGAGTTTGGTCTCTCATGGAACTGTGCTCCTGAGCCATACTTTTACTCAAACAGTATCTCCAGCACCCTTTCATCCCTAGAGCTGAAATAGCTCATATACATAATACCAAACATACTTCTCAGTTCTCACAGTTTTCAATGAAAATACAGTGTCTCTTCCCTTTAATGTGCTATTCAAGCACCCCCAAATTTATTCACTGTCTTGGATCGAGGGCAAAGTGGTGTTCTGAGGGATCAAGGTCAGGTGTCCAGGTCACAAGAGTACACAACTCAGTGAGTTTTCTTGCATTATAAACAGTAGGTTTTTGGTGTAAGATTAAGGAAAAGTCATTAGTCCAGATTCTGTCCGTATATTGTAAGTCAGTCAGTCCTGCATCATTGAACCCATGCCCCCCATACTTGGATTCTTACTTTATCTGGATGTTCATCTCCTTGTTTTTATTCCTCCAGAATAAAGACCAACATTTATAATGTAGCTTGATCATAAAATTAAGTTTTCAAGAAAGTTTGCAAATATGGACCAGATGACATCTTTTCCCTTGAAGGGTAAGAGATCAGGATTGACAGCCTCGTAAGAAGCTGGGGACTCAGGCTTGCTTTCGTGAATAAATGGTGCTCAGCATACATAAATTTACCAAGACTTTTGTGGAAAGCACCTCGTTTTCTTTGCTTGTTTATTTCTGAAATGGTTTATATACCTTACCAAAGATAACACGAGTGACTTAAATTATGTTTTGACAATTACTGGGTTTTATTGATCTTGTTAGGAAAAAGGCCATCAAAATCATTGCTTCTAGGAAATCAGCCGATACTGCAGGACTCATCTAAGTAAATTTTTCCTTAAGCTCATTTGTTTTTATGGGGTTTAGTTTATTTTTCAGTTGAAAATATGACTCTATATCCTAGCCACGTTCAATGAAAGCTTTATAGAACAGAGCATGACAGTAAGGCAGGTCAGACATGACTCCAAGCATAGTTTATTTTGGTTTTGAAAGCATGCTTTTTCTTATTTCAAGATAGTTTAATCAGATGTGGTAACTTCACAGCCATGCAAATCACCTCATAGCTGTAGTAAAGCCAGTTGAAAGTCCGGTAGAAACCACTGATTGCTATAAATTTTTTTCATATCCTTACATGGGCTCAAATTTAGTAGAGTACACTCTATTGAGAAATTGACAACTAGCAATGAATTTTCAGCTTCAGGGAGTAATTGCATTAATTTTACATACAATGATAGGGGATATAAACTTTCCCTCTTTATGTATTAAAACTGATGTTGAGTTTGGATATATCTGTAATTTCTGCTGAGCCACTAAAGCTAAGACTTGCATTTTTTATTAATAGTGTGTACTACCAAGAGATAGTTTTAATAATATTTTGGCTTTTCCTAGTTAAAGCAAAAATATAGGAAATTTATCTATATATATTTTAATTAGCATCTTAGAGGTGCTGGATTCAACAACTTCTGGTTCATGTTTGCTGCAGCTGTTATAAGCTTACCAACATATGAATGAAATCTTTTTTCCACTATTTAATATTTTCTCTACATATTTTCCCCATGAGTATTATCTTGAGATTCCACAGGGGATGGCATCTTAAATCTTGTCCAGCATTTCTAGATGGGTAAATGAGAAGTTGTGGAACCTAGTCAGGTTCCAAGCAAGGGCTGTGTATCTTCAGTGACAACTTGTTAGAGTTTACAAAACTAAATATGAGACTTTGTATATAAAAATGACCAAATCTACTTCATCCTGCATTCCTATTTACAGAATTCCACAGCAAACTCTGGGAACTTGGTGTTTCCAAAGCTAGGTTGACTGCAGCTGCTGAGGCAATGTAGTAAGTCAGGAAGAAGGGAATGCTAATAGCAGGTGAATGTCTGCAAGGATGTAGTTGGGTATCTGCAATAAGAATCCTCCAGATTTGCCTCTCACACTGTGCCTGATGGGAAATATAAATCCAAGAGCCATGATGGGAGACAACTTTTAGCTTGGTCTAATTAAAACCCAAGGCACAGACTGGATTTCATGATAAAAGGCCATCTTTTAGATCAAGTTAAATGTCATTGCTATTTAATGACAATGTGCCTGTAATCCATTGTGGTAAAATTTGCTCTAATTAGCAGTGGCTGCAGTGCACTTAAACAAGAGAGACAAAATGCCCTGGAAAGACTGTCAGTGAGGGACAAAAAGATTGTAACCTATGCTTCCAATCAGTGCCTACAGAGAGAGCCAAACCACAGTGAGCTAAGGTTCTTACACTCAGTTAAACAGATGCCAAGTGACACTATTTGTATTGGAATAAAATGACTTCATGAATTATCTCTGGCGATTAACAAAGAGGAACCACTTCATATTTTTTAAATAGGACTCTGGCTGTGAATGGTTTGTTCATATGGATCAATGTGATAGTTGCTCTGTGACACGAAGAAGCACACCATCATGGATGCTCCATCTCCAATGTCCAGAGAGGCTGAGACCTTCAGAAGGACTGGCCAAGCAGGAACTTCCAGAATATGGAATTGCCACAACTTAAAGAGGGCTGAGGTTCAGCCCACCAAATAAGGAAACTGAGGCAATAAATTTCAACACTTTTCCAAGATCACAAGCCTATCTATATTCTTCATTTACTAAGAAATACTATTATGTGGTCCCTCATCAAAAACATGATTTGCATGTCTTTAAAGTGGAGAAAATTGAGAATTTTACCAAAGTACTGACCTATGATCCACTTTATTTCCCCAATTAAGATCACAAGTGTGCAGCTGACCCTTCTTGGTCCCCAACATTGAAACGTGCACATGCTGTCCTATGCCCTGCTTATCTTGTGCCAGCATTGGTACCGGAGCTGTCTGATCTGTGGGGACTGGAGGGTGGGTATCAGAGTTGTTCTTTTCCAGCTATGGGATTGGATTAATTCATGACTTCAGGAAAATTGCTTTACTCCTATTCTAAATTTATCTCTTTTATCAAAACCTTGCTCTCAGGTATATTATGGAATTAAGCCAGAAGCACTTTGAATGCTGTCTAGTGACAGCTGTGTGCTAAAGCATTTTATAAATATTACCTACTTAGCCATAGAGACATTTAAAGGGAAGTGGAAGGAGAAGAAGCACTTTCTGCCAGCATGGGCTGTGCTCATCCTCCTGGGTCACTGTCTTTACTGTGTACACCTCACACTGAACAACTTGGTACCTTTGCCACTGGAAACGTCAAGTGAAAAAATATCCGTTTGAGAGACAGTGACTATATGTGTGGGTGGCTGCCAAAACCAGGATTGGTTCATTGGTTGTTACCAAAATGGGAACTACAAACATGTAATTTTTAAGAAATTCAAAGCATGAAGAACATGAAACATTTTTATGGCCTTGTGACTTTGGAAAGTCAGAAAGTTACACTTGCAGCCCCAGCATTACTTCAGTGACCCCAGGCAATACTAGAATTCTAGAAGTAAGTTTAACTTTATAACACTTTAATCTTTTCAACAGGTTATATTGAAATTCTCGGGGGAAAGTGGCAATTGCAAAATAAATGAGATACAACAATTGTAAGAAAAATTGGAGATTTCTTTTAAATGGGATGCAATTACCAACTTCTGAGCACAATATCATTCAAATTATGAATTCTAAAGAAATAGCTAATAACCTCTTTTTCTCATTTTCCTTAAAAACAAACTTTTGAATTTTTCTCATTAATAATTAGGGATATCTACTTTTCTCATTTCTTTTCAGCCACATGCTTTTTTCTAATGAATTGACCTTTACATTTCCAAATTTCTGAAATGGCCAACAGACTGTAGAAAGGCATTTCTTTAGGTACCTGCTTGAAACCAACAGCTTCAACAAATTGTTGGCCTTGATTCAGGACCAAACTTACTTGATATTTTTAATATGTTCATTACAAGCATATTCATATATGTTTGTATTTATGTGACTATGCTATACACAATGGTTTTTATAGTCACAACAGTTTAAGAGATACCCTATGTACCTATTACTTGTGGGTTACCTCTTTTTGAGGTTGGGGTGTTCCATAGCTCCTCCCCCAAACTACAGGCTACAACCCTTGCTCTTGTTTATCCTCTGAACTTGATGGTAAGAACTTATTGCTGAAGACACCTGTTGCCTGAATTCCCTCTGGGTCTCCTGCACTTTCAAGCAAACCATATAACATATCTTTATGTGAGTTTATTGTGGTTTATGCCCTCAGGTAGAGAAGGGGTAAATTGGGGAACTTACACAGAGACAAGCACTCTTGCGGGGCCTCAGAGCCTGCCAACATCAGATGCTCCCGCGGCCCAGCCCATAGTCTCTGTTAACTTTTGCCCATGCATCTTGGGCCCATAGTCTCATCCCAGGTTGATAAATGCCCCCTCTCATGTCCATGCGGGGCCATCTCTCTCTCCACACCCGCCTCCGTGCACATTCCTCCAGGCTCACCACTTCAGTTCCAACATGGCTCCCAGCCACCCCTCAGTAGTCCATGCCCTGTGGCAGGCCCGCTCCTTGGAGGAACTAGCCAATTGGGAGACACTCCACCCCTTTCTTCCACTCTTAAAATCTTCCCATCCATCTTCCACTAAGGTCCCTGAGCCTTGGAAGGGGTGACAAATGTAGGGCAATCTTTCTTGTATCATGGTGAGAATAGTGGCTTCTTGGGCCTCCCCATTAGTTGTCTTTAGCCTGTGGACACTGACCTATCTCAGTGGTGTTTCTTCAACTATAAACACAAATGGAGAGAAATAGACACATTTAAACAAACATGAGTGTAAATACAGATGCCTAGAAGATATCCCAATAGATGTACTATATTCATTAAACAGTATACTTGTGATGGCTTCTCCACTAGAGCCTGTAGCCTTTCTTGACACAAGGCGTTGGCCTGGTCTACAGCACCAGATGTATGTTCCACCCCTAGGAGCGGGCCTTATCCAATTAGAAATTTGTCAGTTGTACATATGTTGGTCGAACCATTATTGCACTTGCAGGTATTGCTTGGCATGTCCATAGCATGCAGCACGAAGGGTCCATCATTGAGTAGAATTATAGGGGATCCTTTCTTTCCCAACCATCTGTGTAGAGCCTTCTGGCAATATGAACATCATCCATCCAGTGGCACAGAGTTTTTTGGCTTAGTCTCAGTTCCATCTTGTCTTCTTTTCCTGCGCTCACAACATGCAGTGTCTTCAGGAACTTGGCCTTACCAACTTTTCTAGTGTGCAACCAACATTAATGGCAATAGCCTTGGTGAATTGGAGGACCTCTAGCATCTCTCTCTGGCCAACAGCTCATGAGGGTGCAACCCACCCCTGATACTGTATATTTTCTTAACACTTGTATAGTTTGGGAGTCTCTGTCCTCATCTTACCCAACCTACATAAAACTCCCAAGAATCTTACAGCTATAGCCGGCCTTTGCTTCTTCAGGTATCTTTCAAATGGGGTTCACGTCTATACAACAGTTGAAGGAAGGTTAACATTATATATTAAATCATTCATAGACAAGGTCTCACATAGCATGGAAAGGTTTTGCTCATTCGTATTGTTTTCTCCATAGATCCTTGTTAGGTACCCTAGCGTGGGTACGAGGCATTAATTTGGTTAGCTCTTTACTATTTTTAGTTATCCCTTTGGATTCTTTTATTCTTGATACACTTACAGGTGTTGGCTCCAGTTGCCTGACCCTACACTGAGCTAAGGAGGCAGGGGGCTTCTCCTGTCCCCACTGTACTTGTTGGTTCCCTGAGTCAGACAGGCTCTGGGTCTGCCTTCTGACTGTAGACACATCTGTCATCTTCCTATTGATCACACCAGGTTGCTGGGGGGAGAATTTGGTGCGAAAACCTGCTTCCACTCCTAGTATAGCATTTATCAGAAGAGAAGTGGATCTTATTTAATCCTTGGGGATTCTTAATCACCCCTTATACAGTTGTTATCCTTCAAATGTCCTTTGTAAAGCACTCTTCTGGTTTTAAAACCTTCCAAAACCACCTTAGTACCAAATTTGATTTTCTATCAATTTTTTGGATTTGGGCTTGACATAAATCTTTCCACATTTGTCTTTGAGTAACCCAAGTGGACCATTTCTTCAGTCTGGTCTTTTTTATATCTCTTACAGAGTGTTCTGTTATTTTATAGACATGTTTTACATGCTGGTCAGAATCATTTAGATTTGCCAAAGCCTCTCTCACTTTACAAATATGTTGTCCCATCAAAGGGCTTAGTAAAACCATTAAAGCCCCATATCATTCTCAAGGTCCCAGTTGAATTAGCCTTTCTTTCATATCTCTGGTGAAGTCTTATTTGGCCCAGTGAACTGGGCATCATATATTGCTTTTCTCATACCTAGTTTTCTCAGGAGTGCCTACCCCTCCTTTATAGTCCTCCAGCCCCTGCTCATCATGTTAGTCTCCCTTGGTGACAACCATGTATCTTTAATGCCTTCAACCAGCCACCCCATTAAGGCCTGCTCCCCCCTGCATGATGGCCTAGGTTGAACAGCCTATATCACAAGGATGCATGGGTGGTTATATAACTCAGCTGTGAAGCTTCTGAAGGACTTAAACTGATGTCATTTGCTCCCATGTCCCATACTCTCACAAGCCATGTGGCCAGGAGCTCTCTGCTTGCTTGTAAGTTATTCCTAGTTTTAACAGTTCTAGCATGGAATATTTCCTAGCTACAGCACAGTTAGCTTTCTTTCCTTTTTACTATTATCTGTCTTTTCCTCTGAGTCCCTGGACTTTACACAAGTCAAAGTGTCCCACCATTTTTCTCTCTCCGGCTCTGCAACTGGGTCTTCCAGTGAAGCATTTTCAGCTTTCCCTGCCTGGGACACATCTTTTATGATGCAAAGTGGCCAGTGGCCGCTCCATTTGGGTCTAGAGCAGGTAAAAGATTTTCTAACCTTTGGGTAACTTTTAACAAATCTTCACATACCCGCAACATATCCCCACATTTACAACATAGCTGTGGTTCCTGCTTCTGCATGGCTGGCCTCTTTTTAGTAACCCATTGTAAAAGCCACATGAGCACCACCATTAGTGCTCTTCTAAAACTCATTCTCAGGTTCGTCATATCCTGCCAGGCTATGTCAATTTTGTCACCTGAATTCCCTCTGGGTCTCCTGCACTATTAAGCAAACCATATAACATATCTTTATGTGAGTTTATTATTGTTTATGCCCTTGGGTAGGGAGGGGATAAATTGGGGAACTTACACAGAGACAAGCACTCTTGCACCTTGGCTCAGAGCCCACCACCAGATGTTCCTGCGGCCCCACCCATAGTCTCACTTAACTTTTGCCCACACATCTTGGGCCCGTAGTCTCGTCCCAGGTCAATAAATGCCCCCTCTCATGTCCATGAGGGTGAGGCACTGGAGCCTTCTCTCTCTCCACACCTGCTGTCACACACGTTCCTCCTGGCTCTCTGCTTCAGTTCCAAGATGGCTCCCAGCCACCCCTCAGTAGTCCACTCCCCATGGCAGGCCCTGCCACTTGGAGGGACTAGCCAATTGGGAGACAACACCATATACCTGAGCCTTGGGACATGGAGAAATTAAGTTGGTACCAACCTAGAAGCTTCATCTCTACTGACCAGCTTCCATAGTGCTAGAAGGTTCTATACAAGCTACTAAGGGAGAAAAGTCACCAACAGTCTTACCCAGCTCCGAATCCTGCTAGCTATAGTAATAATTGGCCTGGCAATATATGCCCCCTGGTGCAATAGTAGTACAAATGTTATGGGTGAAAACCAACCACTTTCTGATTGGACTTAAAGCCTGTTCCACCAGACAGAACTCATGCCTAGTACTGTTAACTGGCCCAAGAACCCATAGCTGGCTCAGTCATAGGCCCTAGGAGAGAACTTAATACTATCCTACTAAATAAACATAGTAATAAACTGCCTCTAATTTCTTATCTTTATAGCAATATAATAGTACATCTCTCAGCCCTCATCAGAGCTTATTTTTATAGTAGAGACTCACAAAGTCAATATGCAGAGAAGAGATTGTGACTCTAAATGGGACATCAGTATCACACATCCAACCCTCCAAGCCCAGGAATCATCAAGGAAGAGTGGGTAGAATGACTGTAAGAGCCTGAGGGTCTAAGTGTCTGTTGTGATACAGTATTTGCTGGGCATGATAGCTCAGTTGCACACACGAACTTACAGCAGCTGGTACTGCGTGCACAAGTTTTGCACAGATCAAGACAGCCAGATAGATGAGAGGAGGAGTTCAGGAAGTCCCACCTCTATCTGAAGTGCTGCTGGCAATTAATGGCTAATGAGGGAGGGAGAGTCAGCTTTCTTCAGGTATGAGGACCCTGAGAGACTACCCATTCTCCAATAGATGGTCTCATATCCATGTACATACATAAAAAAGAGCACATGAAATTGGGAGGGAAATGTAGAGGAGGAATTTGAGTGGAAGAGAAGGGAGAGATTTTATCCACACACACTGTATGCATGTATGAATATTGAATGGAATATTAAAAGTAAATTTAAAATGATTCCTGATCTAGCAAATTGAAAATAATGAAAGTGTCTTTAACCAAAGTAGAAAATATTAGAGGTAAACTTTCTATTGGAGATGAGTTTTTTTATAGTCTATAGCATTATAAGATGTTGAAAGAATTTTATCCGGAAAAGCGGCAGCCCTTAAAATCTAGGCTGAGGTTATAAGAAAAAAGCACAAAATTTACGATTAGGAAGTCCTTGGTTTGTGGATGATAAACAAAACCAACAGAGTAGGTAGGTAAGGGACAGAATGCAGGAAGGAAAGAACTGAAGATGGAGCCTTGAACTTGGGGTAAACCTGTGCATAGAAGTGGATGAGAATGTGGTTGGAGGAAATACTTCTGAAGAGA